AGACAACTTTAATTTATTCTTCTAAGAAGCCAGAATACAACAGTTCTGGCAGACACAGGAGAAGAGTCACCCTGCAGCCAGGGGCTTGTCATCAGTAGGCACCTGTCTACTACATCAGAGGACAGTGGCTAGTGCATTTGAAGTGGATTAGTTCACTGGCTAAGCACACACATGCAGGTGCAAGGTGTAAGCTCGCTCTCTCTCTCTCTCTCTCTCTCTCTCTCTCTCTCTCTCTCTCTCTCTCTCTCTCTCTCTCACACACACACACACACACACACACACACACACACACACACACACACACAGCATAGAAACCAGAGACACCAAAAAGAAAAAAATGGAAGCTATGTGAAAAATAAGCTTACATAGTTTATTTCACGAACTATGTATCTCAATTCAGTTACTACCTAGAGAAGCAGGAGAGGAAGGATGGGAAATTGGCCTTAGTCTATTTATTGAAATAGATAAAGTACTGTGATTAAAAAGCAAGGAGAAATCTCTGAAGAGAATAAGGTTTTGTGGAGAAGAGAGAAATACAGTGGTGATCATGCTTTTTCAGGTAATAACTGCCCTTCAAAGTTTCCTATCTGCAGACACATAGATGCAAAGAAATCTGCGTTTTCCCCACAAAGTCTACATTTTTCCCCCTTCTACTTTTCAGGTTACTACACGGTCACCATTGAAAGTATCACAGGTTCATATTTACAGAGACACTGGAAGGATTGGATTCAAAATGATTGACTCTTTATTTTATTGGGGAGCACAGGCCTGCTGCTTAATTAAACTAAGCACCTCAGTAGCCGGAGGTGTTCGTTAATGGTTGACAGCATTCTTGAGATCCTGCTCCTGAGAAAGATAGAAAGGCACCAAGTCAGAGGGGACAGAACGGCTAAGTGAGGCTTGTTCTTCCAGAGCATTTTCCATGTGAACCATCGGGTTTACCTGAAAACCATAATTTATCAATCTTAGGACTCCAGAGGAGAAGGCTGGATTTCCACATTTCAGGGCAGATCTGTCTCATATCACAGTCTGCGGAGAATTATCTTAAAGGCCAAACAAGCAAGAGAAGAACATGGCTCTTTTCTGTTAGAAATTAGAAAATGTAATCATTTTGTTTTGCATTCATCATTTATTATGAATTTTATATTCACCATTTCCTGAACACTGAGAAATTATGGCAGGGTTTTGGGTTGTGTGATGCCTGGTAGATAGTAAGCAGTTAATTTTATTGAAACAATGAACTAAGGGATATACATCTAAAACATTTTGAGAGTTCTTGCCTTTTAAAGCCCTCCTTCAGCATAGTAGATCTGATAAATGGCCTATATTCAGTTCATAAACTTTTTTTGTTATTTTGGTTTTTCAAGACAGGGTTTCTCTGTGTAGCTTTGCACCTTTCCTGGATCTCGCTCTGTGGACCAGGCTGGCTTCGAACTCACAAAGATCCGCCTGCCTCTGCCTCCCAAGTGCTGGAATTAAAGGCATGCGCCACCACCGCCCGGCACATTTTGTGTAAGTTTTAAGTTTTTTATTATTTGGACTGAGCATGGTGGCACATGCCTTTAATCCCAGCAGTCCAGAGGCAGGTGGGTCTCTGTGAGTTCGAGGCTAGCCTGGTCTAAGCAGCGAGTTCCAGGACAGGCAGGGCTGTAGAGAGAAAACTTGTCTCAAAAAAACCTTTATTCTTTAGCAGTTTCATACATGTATATAATGTATTCTGATATCTGCCTTCCCATATCACTCTCTCTGGATGTTTTCTTCTTCCCAACACCTTCTCTGACTTTCTGTTCTTATATGAATATATCTAGTTAGGTTACTTGCATGAACTAGGTATGGGGTTATTTACAAAAAAAAAAATTGACCCTCACCTCCAGCAACCATTAACTGCCAACAGCTCTGAAGCTAGGGGTGAGAACTCACGCGCCCTCCTCCCCATACAGGGATGTTGGCAGCTCAGTCTTGTGCAGGTCTTGGCAAGTAGCCACAGTGTCTATGAGTTAAGGAGAGCAATGGCCACGCCATGTCCAGAACACAGCATTTTCTAGCTTTCTTCCCAGCCTCTGACTCTTGCGTTCTTTCTGTCCCCTCCTCCTCTGCAATGTCTCTTGAGCCTTAAGGGAGGGAGGTGATATTGATGTCCCATTTAGGGCCCGGCAATCAATCATCACGGATTCTCAGCAATTTGACTTGTTATGAGTACCTGCTCGAACTACTGCCCAGTACAATCTAATCTATGGATATGAACATGCAGATGTAGATGGCAGTTAGACAACATGCCCATTCTGTAAACAATAATAGAATAGTGGATTTCCACCTGGGTCCTGTGCCCTCCCCGGACATGACCCTTAGACCAGGTTTACAGGACCAGTCATAAGTTCCCTTAAAATCTAACAAGAAAATGGTTGGTTATTCTCAATAGCACCACTATTGCCCGTGTGGACACAGCTTGCCTTCCAGGTCAACCATAGCATGCAGGGTCCACCAATGGGTAAGGCTGCTGATGGCCTTTCTTTCCCAACAGCGTTCACAGCACCTATAAAAACTACCCAGCAGGGAGGGAGGTTCCAGCTCAGTTATAGCTTGATTATGTCCTGCACCCCAAGCATATGATATCTTTAGCAACAGGATCTTACCATCTAGCTCTGGTGGGCGATCAAGAGCAATGGCATTGGCCTGTATTGTCTTAGGAGCCTCTGAGGCCTCCCTGACAATACATAGAGGGGTGTACCACACGTGGCATGAAGATTTTTATTTAATAAGCTATGATCCTACTTCTAAGAGCAGCATTAGCCACCCATTAGGATACTTCTGCCTAGACTCCGTTTTGATTATATTTTAAATTTAACTGACAAAGCAGTGGTTTCCATAAGTTTTTTCACACACCCCGAGTTTCTGTTGATGTTTTTCCCAACTCCCACCCCATCCCCCATCCCCCATCCTTAAGCCTAAACCTTACCATTCCCAGTACCCTTCTTCTCCTCCATACATGCTCTATTATCCTCTCCCCTGTTCAGCCCCCTTCTCCTCTCATGGGCCTTTTAGACTTCCCAGCCTCTACAGACATTCCCAATTAAACATACAAAACCTACAGATTCAAAACCAGGATCCAAGGACGAGAAAGAATGTGGTGTCTCTCCCTGTGGTTTCCTCACTTTACGTAAATTCTGTCAAGCTACTTACAACAATGGCCGCAGCTGGGAGACGACTGTGAGTTCAGAGTTCTCGGCTCCAGGCCAGGCACCAAGAATGGATGGTAGAAAGTCCTTTAATGTGACATGTCTGTTGAGTTTTCGTTTCCATGGGAGTGAGTTCATCTGTAGCAGGTTACTTCTAACATCCACACAGTTTCAAGATCACATCACTGAAGGAGTCAAGCTAAGGGGTTTGCCTATATTGGAAGAATAATGACATCATTCTTATTGTGGGCCCAGTACAATTATAAGAGCTTTCCAAAGCATCAGTGATATAATAACTACAGTTAGAGCATAGATCAAACATGTAGTAGTACTTCCCACACTGTAAGGTGTAAATGAATGAGGATTGCTGTTAAAATGAGAAAAGTGTGATTAAAGTCCAATCTGTGAAAATGACTTAAAAGCCAAAATAGAATAAAAGAATATTCATAGTTGAAAATAACACAAATGCAATTAGTTATTTTATTTAAGCCACCAAGTACGTTTATTTGATTGAAGGAAGGGTTGTACTCTTTATTTGGTTTGAGAAACTATACTAGGCTCTCATTACAAATGATTTAGCCTCCACTGTCGTACACTGGAGTGTTCTCCCATCTATGAAGTGACAGAGAAGAAAACTGCTGAAAGGCAGGCGTTCTATCAGGTCGCATCTCAGTCTACCAGGCGCTGTTTGTGTTGCTGGGGCACAATTCACAGAGGGACAAGCTGGCCACCGTCCTACATTCCTGGTAAGCAGTGGCACTTCTAAATATCAGAGAGACAAGTTTCAGGCCCACACTGGGCACGTGGTTGCCTGTAAGCTTTGGACGAAAGGTACTACAGTAAGAGACAGCTTGACTGGAAAGCTAGCAGCAGGCTTCAGTTCCCTAACTGTGGTAACAGTCCAGATTTGGAGCGAAGGAGCTGAAAATTCATGCAACTTTGGCAAGCCCCATAATGTCTGTCTAAGAGGGCCCTTTGTCTGATTACTTTGACACACCACTCTAAATTCTGTCTCCTCCTTCCCCACCTTCATTCCTTACTCTGACCTCACTTGACCTCACTATGACCTTTGTCTCTTACCACTTCTAGAAAGTCGTCCCTGAGCCAAAACTTTTGGTTCCTTTGAATATCCGGTCTACACTAAGGGTTGAGTTAATGTTCTACATCTGTGCTGCTTGAAGACGTGCTATGAATCTCTAGCATGTTCCCTTTGTTCAGCCTCTTCTATTCCATCACACTATTGGTCCTCAGTTCCCTTTGGTAAACTGTAAGCTACTGAAGAACAGGAACTATGTTTTATTCAGTTTTGCATCTCTGGACTCTTGCAGGACTCACACAAAACAATCAGGCACAGCAAAGTGACCTGTAACCCCAACACTGAAGAGGCAGAGACACTGTCTTAAAAATACGGTGGACAGAAATTAAAAAAAAAAAAAACCACAAAGCCTCGATCTCTGGCTTCCACACACATGTACACATACTTACACATGCATTGGAACACATATGTCCACACACGTGGATATGAACCCGCACACACAGGGAAGAGAGAGAGAGAGAGAGAGAGAGAGAGAGAGAGAGAGAGAGAGATCATTGATTCATTTAGCCAATATGATTGAATATTAGTTGTCTACCTAAATATCAAACTGTTAAAAATGAGGCTTTCAAAGTTCTACCACAGTGTCTGTACCTACAGAGACAGCTGAAAGGGGAAAAAAACTACAAATCTTCCAAAGGTAGATGCTCTTGTTTCCTAAAATGTCCGGGCGATTTTTCCACTAGACTTTCTCACAGACCGTTTCTAACACTGGCTAACCCAACAAACAGGAATGCTGCCGAAAGCAGAAACAAGACCTGTGTGAGAAGTTTGATTACCTCTACGGCATCCTGGAAGAGAGGAAGACTGAAATGACCCAAGCCATCACCCGAACACAGGAGGAGAAACTGGAGCACGTCAGAGCCCTTATCAGAAAGTATTCTGATCACTTGGAGAACGTATCAAAGTTGGTGGAGTCGGGAATCCAGTTCATGGATGAGCCGGAAATGGCCGTGTTTCTGCAGGTAATACTTTTTGGCACCAAGGACACAGACCCACATGGTGGGTGCTGAGAGCTAACTCTGACCACATTTTCAGTATTTTATTCACATATCATTTAAAAATCTATGTTATTAACTAAAAGGTCATCCATTTGGTGTTGTTTAAGTAGAGAGGGTAGCATTTGGAAGTCCAGCTAGGAGATTCTGAGTCACAAGTGGAGGGATTAAAGCTCACCAACGTCATGGAAACAAGCCAAGTAAGCTTATCTTTCTTGCTTTTGCAGAATGCCAAGACCCTGTTACAAAAGTGAGTACTTTCACATTTTTTGTTTTTACCCAAGGCTATCAGACGTTAACCAGTGGCAGGAAATGACAAGTGTCTTTGCTGCAGGATCGCGGAAGCATCCAAGGCATTTCAGATGGAGAAAGTTGAACAGGGTTATGAGATCATGAGCCACTTCACAGTCAACCTCAATAGAGAAGAGAAAATTATACGTGAAATTGATTTTTACCGAGGTGTGTTATTTCTTTGACTCTGTTTCGAATTGCATTGTGGGAAAGCTGTTGGGTGAGAGGAATGTGTGTGTGTGTGTGTGTGTGTGTGTGTGTGTGTGTGTGTGTGTGTGTGCAGACCCCTCCAGAACAGACATCTATAACTTCACAGGGACCACAAACCAATGTGATTCTCAGTCTCACCACATGATCACATAGCTTTTGACTGTTGGTTTTTATAGTGTTTTAATGCCATTATCAAAATTTTGACTCGGGTTATGAAATCCTTAATAATTGACATAAATGGTGATAACTCAACTTCAACTCTATCCCAGAGTATGAATCATAGTGGTGTAAAGGAAAAATGTTAACGATAAGTCGAAAAGAGAACAGAGAAGACATCTGGGCTAGGTATGGCAGCACATTGACTTGATCGAACATCAAAGATGAGATGGTCTCAAGTCACAGGGTCAGTCACAGCGTGGAAATAGGACAGAGTTCATGAGCTATGACTGTGTCTTTCACTTTGGGCTCTGTGGCAGATCAGCCACCACTTTTACAACCCAGGGTACTCTTGAGTAGGGAAAAGTGAGAAATATTAACTAGAAAGAGATACCTAGACGATGAGAGGAAAGACAGAAAAACAGGAGAGCCTCGGGAGGGCCTGGGTCCTTATCCATCGGCCCAGAACTTTATTCAAAAGGGTTTTTTTTTTTTTTATGACAATGCCAAGGGGAGGAGCAAAGGACCTCCCTCTTGCTAGATACAGCCGAGTATAGACCCTTACAAATACCTGGTACCCAGGCCCATGGTTCAGTCAACCTCTTATGCAGTCCTGCTGGGCATAGCCACTAGGAAACCTCGGTGGGCTCCAACAGGGCTCAGAATTCCCCCTCTTAGAACTATCCTGATGAAAGGGAGACAATAACTCTGGAGCTGACCCCAACTCTGACTGCCTTGACTCCTAGTAGATCTAAAAGAGAGACGGACACAGCGGTGGGCTAGACCACTTGCTATGCCATGAAATCGAACTAGCCTCACACACACAAGCTTAGAGGCAGGCACATCTTCACAAAGGATTATTATGACCTGGAAAGGAGCTTGCAGATATAATGGCCATGGCAGAAATTGAGCAGGCTCTGTGAGTGGGGATGTGTGGGGGGCAGGGGACAACTTGGTACCGGAGATGAAAGCAAGTCGGTGATTCCTTCACACTTGCCCTGCCGGGGTGAACGTGAGGAGCACATGGTTTCAGCATGGTCCACCTGGACCAGTGCCAAGTGTCAGTGGACGTGACTTCTGTAGCCCTGGGCTGTAGGTGCTATGTTTCCATGGCTACCATGGTAGTCATAAAAAGTTTAAAAAGATCTTATCTCCCTAGAAGAGGAAGATGAAGAGGATGCAGGAGAAACAGAAGAAGAAGGAGGAGAAGGAGAGGACGCAGCGGAAGTAGAAGAGGTAGAAAATGTTCAGATAGAGTCATCAGGGGAAGAGGAACGCCCGGAAAAAGCCTCAGAGCCCCCGCAGCTCACCTCAGAGCTCCAGGCTGCCCCGGGGCCACTTCTTGCTTCCTCTCCAGAGCCACCGTCACCCATGCCACCTGCTGCAGATGTCCTGGTAACCCAGGTAACCATTCACAGTCCCTTCCTGCCAAACTGCCTCATTGCCAACTACTGTAAACAACGGATTCTACTATAAGACAAGAGGAGGTCAGGACAGTCACAACACCGGGGAGAAACGCCCTCCAGCTCATTCAGGGGGTTCATCCCCATTACAGCTGGTTGGCAAGACTTAATTTAATGCCACATTTATATCAACAACACTCTCGGATCTGAGGCAATCTCTGTCAAGAAAGTGTGTGTGTGTGTGTGTGTGTGTGTGTGTGTGTGTGTGTGTGTGTGTGTGTGTGTGTGTGAAATAAGAGCTGCTCTTGGGACAGTAGTCTACCTTTTGTTGCATAGTCAATGAAAGCACAGAGTATTTTGCAGAAATTATATAAGGTGAGAAATGAAAGTGATTCTACTTCAGAACATTGACTCTCCTACACAGAATAGAGGAAGTAAATAGAGAAACCACAGGAGTTCACGTAGCTTACCCTGAAACACAACTTCATCTTTCCTTCGGTGGACAAGCAAATCCAGCTTGGTTTTCCAATGTTTGTCATTTGAAAAAAGTGTGGTTAGAGGTGTCTTAGGAAAGCAGTGACTGGCCAGCTTCCCTGGGCTTCTAGAAGGCCACTGTTAGTTTGGGGGCTTTTGTGTTGACTTCCAGGGCATGCCAATGCACAGAATTCCCGTTCCTGGGTGTGTGGGAAAAGCAGGCTCATCAAAGAGGGGTCCTGGTTCTGCTTCTGTGGGTTGAGATTGTTGACAGAGCCAAAACGCCACAGTGAACCCGGACATGGAATTGCATTCTGTATTCTGTCTCTGTAGGAATCCAGGATAACACGCTTTTTATTTCCCAGGACCTTGACCTTCTGAACATCCCAGCCGCACTGGCATTGAGAGGAGGGCAGACATTAATGGGGGTTGGGTTTGATCAATTAGGTCAGTATTGCTTTCTAAAAATCAGATTTGGGGACCCATGCATAATGCCAGAGTTAATTTTGGTCAATAACTTGCCATGTGTGGTATTCCATAAGCAACTTTTCACCCAAAGCTTCAGCCCCTCTCGGTGCTCCCATCTAGTGGAAGGCAAGCTGGGAAGCATGTAGATGATGTCATCAGAGGCACAGCACTGGGGTGAGCATTCAGCCCCAGCATCCCCAGAGAGCTCAGGGTCTTCAAACCCAAAGGGAAATAACACCAACCGCTTTTCCTCTTCTTTTTTACTTTGTGACCCCCATCTGTTCTGATTAAGGGGGAGGTGGTGCCCATTGGCTCTCAGCAGACCACACAGTCTGAAACTACTCCAGGCCCTTCATCAGCGGAAACCGCGGATCCCTTGTTTTACCCTAGTTGGTATAAAGGCCAAAACCGGAAAATCATCTCCAACCCACCTTGCACCCCTGGGAGTGAAGGTCCGGGGCAAGTAGGGCGTCCTGCTGCTGAGGATTCCAGTGTGCAGTCTGCAGAAGTGGCAGAAGCCGCAGCCAATGAGCAGGCAGCAGTGAGTGGTAAGGAATCTAGTTCACCTGCAGCTACCTCTCAGGTTAGTGTTGAAGCTCTTCTATCTGAATGCTTCCCCACACCTGCTACCACCCTGCTGGACTAGGCACAGCCAGAGAGCAGGGCTTTCTAAGGAGCAGAGGGAAGCCACTGCCCTGGGGGAAATGCCGCAACATCTTGTCCTCCAATGCTGGCTTGCACTTAAGCATTCTACCCAAGAATAAACAAAGACTCAAACAATCTGAACTCCCTTTGCCCATGTGACCTCATCCCAGGCTTTCCAGGGGATGCGGTGCAAGCAAGTCTAGCCCTTAGGCATGCTGTGCAAAGCTGTTTTTCTCTGCAGTGACTGGCTGGCTGACTCTCTGGTTCTTTGTGAAATTCACTTGCCCTTACTTGGCCTTTCCAATCTCCCCCTTGGGCTTCCAAAGACTAATCGCCTGCCTTGGAGTCATTCCTAGCAATCACCAAGGAGCACATTTGAATTGGTTTAAATTTGCTCTGTGAAATAATCTGGGATTCATGTCTTCCAGGAATGTGCTTGCAGTGGCTAGATAGTCTTGGCTCGATGAAAACTGTGCTTCCTAAGCTTGGGTTCCTGGGGCAGGAACACAGGTTTCCTCCACTTTTATAGGCGGCTCTTGATAACTTAAAACAATTGATAATGTAGCTTGATAAACTTTTGTTTTTATAATGAACATTTGAAGTCCAAATCTTCCTTCTATTGCTTAGTTAGATGTTTGCATGTTTCCAAGAGCCCCCAGAACATATCTGCAGTTTCTCTCCGAGGAAGAATGTCAGTCATTCTAGACTCGGGATTCCTAAATAAGGTGTGGGGAGTGAGTGTTGCCTGGATGATAAGCTGTCACTCAGCACCCATGGGTCTGTACTCCTGGGTCATCAGGTGACAGTGGACAGCAAACAGCATGATTTTATTGTATCTGCCCAAGTGGACCCCAGTCTCTCCAGGTAACAAAAGGATATCATTTTGGAGAGTTAGGCGTACCGGGTTTTTAAACCTGATCTTTATTCACAGATACAAAACGACAAAAGTAAATGTTTATAAAGCAACCTTTCCAGGGCTAGTTTCAGGTTAAAAACCAAAGCCAATGGATGGACTGATTATTTCTAGAAACTTTATGGAGATGTCTATATTTGAGGAGGAAGAGGTATTTCCATTAGCAGCGCAGTTTCCCCCCCCCCCCCCCCGCCCCCAAGGAACACATTGTAGTTTTCCCACTCAACACATTTGTCTAAATGCTATGGAAGAAATGATTTGTGATGATGTCAGTGAAGATTTCTTCTTGTTTTCTCGCAGGAGTTAGCAATCTGCCTAGCACTCCTGGCTTTTCTTATTCTCCACTACATCTGGAGTCAGATTCAGTGCTTGATTTTTGCTCTAATGGGTAGGAAACATTTTCTTTTCCGTTTACTAACACCTCATGTATTTTCTCTCATAGTGTTCCTCTTCTTTAGTCCCAGAGATGCTTTTCCCACAAGCCTTGAGGTTCAGTCATCTAAAACCATGTTCACTCAGGGCCACAAGCTCCCTCCCTACAGTAGAGGTGCCCATGCACCTTCTGAAGGGAGCTCATTTTATGATATATTCCTGCATGGAGAACCTTGACCCAGAACAGTGACTCCGTGGGCAATTATTCAGTAATCCAGTAGGCATAGACCCTCCATTGGGGGAGTACACCTGCACAAGGTGTGCTCAGCCCTGTGAGGACTCTGTTCTTATAGTAGAGGGAGTCATAGCAAAGAACCCATTCAGGAGCATGCAGGGCTGCTGTGGGTTTGAGAGCAGGATTCCCTGTTTACCGAAAGAGGCCCAGGAGAGGAGGTAGCTGCTGTCAGGAATGCTGTCTAGGGCAGCCTCTGCACTAGACTATGACTAGGTTGTCTTCAGACCCTCATTCTCTTCAGAGTCTTCCCCTGGAGAGGAGGTCTCTGAGACAAAGATGCTACAGTGGAGCAGCCATTAGATACACTGAATAAAGAGCTAGGCATTAATGTGCACACAGCAACCATAAGAATCTAAATCAGAGGCCGGGCAGTGGTGGCGCACGCCTTTAATCCCAGCACTCGGGAGGCAGAGCCAGGTGGATCTCTGTGAGTTCGAGGCCAGCCTGGGCTACCAAGTGAGTTCCAGGAAAGGCGCAAAGCTACACAGAGAAACCCTGTCTCGAAAAACCAAAAAAAAAAAAAAAAAAAAAAAAAAAGAATCTAAATCAGAGAAAAGCCACTATTTTGTTCAACAGTCCCTGCCTTTTGTTTCAAGTTACATTTCTCATAGTTAAGCTATGAGGTTTGCTTTGGGCTCAATGAATTCCTGGCCTCAATGAATCTTACCTTTTGGGTAATCTTTTGAAAACTACCCATTTAATTAGCAATATTTGAAGCGCATGAACTCAAGCACATGAACTTTTGAGTGAAGGGCCCTACTGGCCTAAACCCTTCCTCTCTTTCCCTTAGCCAAAAAGCAGTCCAGGATCCCTGGTGCTAAAAGGCAGCAGCTATTTCTGGTTCCCTAACCTCCCATGATAGGCCTCTTTTCTCCCTCATTAGCCATCTGCTCTGCAATGGCTGTAGGATCTCTGTGGGTACCAGCTGCGTCTATAACCGTGTGAGCAGAAGCCCCACCCACCTTGTGTCTAACAGTCAGCTGTGACCTTGCGCACACTCAAATATCCTGAGCATGCACATGGTATTTCAGCTGCCTGGCTCCTCCTTCCACATTATTTGTGGTGAAACGGAATCATAGGCAATGGGTTCAGGGACAAAAATAGGGAGAGAAAACAACATGGTTATTGGAAGCAGGACCTAATTGTGGATCTGAATAATTGTCTAAAGAGTTCCGTTTACCTTCCAAGAATGTGGGTTTGAAACCTTGTCACCATACCTCCTTACAATATCCTCCGAGGCTGTAAGGAGAGTGTCATGCTTCATGGCTGCCAGTCACCAAGCTCATGTCGTTGTATGCTGACATTCATCCGCCTGTGTGGGGAGACGAGCAGGAGGGGTGGGGTTGGATGAAGTGGATTGTTACTTGTTGTTGCAAAGCACCTTGATTGTGTGGTTTTGTGTTTGAGAAAAGCCATTTTCACATAGCAAAGCTAACCCGATCACAATCGGAACCACTCCCACCAAGCCCCATCAGTCCCGCAGCCCACTTATAAAATAAATGCACAGACTCTTATATTATTTAAACTGTTTGGCCTAATGGCTCAGGCTTCTAGTTATCTAGTTCTTACATCTTAAATTAACCCATTTCTATAAATCTATACCTTGCCACATGGCTCGTGGCTTACCAGTATCTTACATGTTGGTACTCATGGCAGCAGCTGGCAGCATCTCCTGACTCAGCCTTCCTGTTCCCAGAATTCTCTTCTCTGCTTGTCCCGCCTATACTTCCTGCCTGGCTACTGGCCAATCAGCATTTTATTTATACAGAGCGATGTCCACAGCAACTCTTGAAGTAGGATATGAATAGAGTTGTAAAGACCGCACAACGGTAGTAAATTCCTGGCCTCAATGAATTTTTGTGTCTGGTGCAACTTCGACACTCAGAGCCCGAGCCACCAGATAACTGTTTGTCCAGTGTACATTCAGCAATGTCTCCCTGAACTACTGTTCTTCCCTTGAACGTCATGTATGGGATACCAGGCCTTTAAAAATTCACCGATGTCATTACTAAATAGTTCCAGGTCAGGGTGGCATCATTGCCTTAGAAGCTCAAACATCACAAGCTAGACTGCTCACCTCCAAGCTCACCTCAGCCCCAATGGCGGAGCTGCAAACCCTTTCGGATGGTCTATCCTCAGGTGCTTGCCACATATCCTTTGACACGGTAAAACCCACCCGTGACCCCAGAACACAGGCACATCATGCTTCCATAATCTGGTCATGGAAAAAAACAGCCATCAGCTCCCTCTGCACTGGGGGATGAAGGGGCTACTTTTTAATAAATCAGAGGTGGATTGTCACCATCCTCATCCTCATCTCCTATGAAAATAATTGCTTTTAAAAAAATTGGGATTTATCCCAGTTGTCAGTTTATCTCTTTAAAGATGCTAGTTCCCACCCTCTACAGGATGAACTTTGAACCTTTTCTTAACCTTATTCCTGCCAAAAAAAACTGTACAGAGACCGAAAGTTTGACCAGGCTGCCAGAGGCAGATTGTCCCTGTGTGTACCACCCTTCTGGATCATGTTTATTATATGCTTAGCTGATGCAAAGGGAATTTAGTAGATATAACATTTGATGCTTTTCATGTATTTAACTTAAATATTTAAAAAATATGGTTAAGAGTATTTTTAGAGTTTTATGCAATGTATTTTGGTCGTATTCACCACTCTCTCAACTCTTCCCCAATTCTCACACCCCGTTCCCTACCCACCCAACTTTGTGTGCATGTCTCTCTCTTTTATAAATCCTTCATGACTGATTTGTGCTCCCCAAATATTCTTGGATGTGTGGTCTTCTACTGGAGAGTGGTCAACCTGCACTTAGGGAACTCTTAGGGAACACACACTCTCTCTCTCCTAACAGGCAGCGTCGCCAACAGCTCCGTGATCTGGGGTGGGATTGTGTGCCCAGCTCCTTCGTCCTCACTGGGATCTGCTCTGGTTTGGGCTTGCACAGGTTTTGTGCATGCCATCACAACCACCCTGAGTTCATATATGAAGCTGCCCTGCTGTGTCCAGAAGAGAATGTTTCCTTCTAGTCATCTAATGGTTCCGACTTTTATAGTCTTTCAGGACCCTCTTCCATGAACACTTACCATATGAGTTTTGAGATTAAGTTCTCATCAGAATCATAACAACTGCCTGTAGATGAATTTCTAAGTGGTCTTATTAAATAAAAAACACAGAGCCAAATATAGGAGTGAAAGCCTTAGATTAGGGAAACAGTGAGATCCACCAGCCAACCTACCTCACCAGCTCCGCAGCTTCCGAATGCCACGACTTCCTGTCTGCACAGGCTTTTATTGCCTTGCTGTTCTGCCCTCTCATTGGCTATCTTAGCCCAGCTACCTCACT